GAGGTTGTGGTTGCTATGGCAATGCTGTTGTTGTTGGGCAGGGCATCATGCATCCTCTCAGGCGATGAGCTCTTCTTGGCTGTGATTCCATGATGTCTCCTCCCAGGATGTTGTCACACAGACACACACACACGCACATTAAGTGTGTGTATCTGTGTGTCCGTGTGTGTTTATGACCACATCACATCTTGCGGTCTCCAGCAATGAAGATTTTGGTTTCTTGGACCATTTCACTTGATGACTTCCCATTTCTTTTTCTTCTAGTGTCCTTTTTGGTAAATTCATCTCCTGAGGCCAGCTTGACTTAGCAACACAAAGTTTGGTACACATGTCCATCATGAGTATATTCACAAAAAAAGTGTCAAGAGGCCATGCCTCTAATGACACAGGAAGTCAGAAATGTTAGGAGTACTTTTGCAGTCCTTTGAATCTTTTGAAAAGTCAGCCCTTGAAGCCAGTTTGACTTAGCAACATTAATTTAGGTATATTAGAACCCTGAAAATGCATAGAGCAAGAAAAATCTCAAGAAGCCATACCGGAAAAGATAAAGGTGGGCGTCAATTTCGGCCATTCAAATGACTCAACTGTGCATAACTGGATAAATAAAATAATTCAGGCCCTGAAGCCAGTTTGACTTACAGTTAGCTACATTAAGTTTGGTAGAAATCTTTATCATGTATGCACCAACAAAAAAGTCTCCAGGCGCCATACTGGAAAAAATGCAGGAGTTCAGCCATTTTGGTTCGAAGCAGCTGTATTGGGCTCAATTAATTCAGTTATGCGCAACCAGACAAATAAAGTAATTCATTCCCAGTTTGATTTTGGAACATGAATTTTGGTAGCAATGTCTATCACGAGTAGGTGCAGAAAAAGTCTCAAGAGGTAATGCTTGAAAATAGATGTGAAATCTGCCATTTTGGTTTAAAGGCGTCATTTTATGGTCATTTTGGCCATTTCCAGGGATCCCATTGATTTTTATTTTTGTATTTATTTATTTATAAGTTCAGCCACTGAAGCCAACACAAAATTTGATAGCATGTCTATCATGAGTAGATTCACAAATAAGTCTCAAGAGGCCGTAGGACACAGCAAGTCAGGCATTTGGGTTTAAAAGTCTATTTTTTTCTCGATCAACGGCCCTTTGACTCTTGACTCTTTTGAAAATCCAGCCCTCCAAGACAGTTTGACTTAAAAACATGAAATCTGGTAGATATTTCTATCATGAGTACTGCAGACCCACAAAAAAGTCTCCAGAAGTCAGGACCAAATATCGAAACAAGGTCAGCCATTTTGGGTTCCAGCGGCCACTGTAATTTCCAGGGACAGCGCATGGGAGAAAAGTGTGATAAGTTAATAAGTAAGTTAAGCAAATGTTTGGCTCAGTAGCAGTCATAGCTCCACTCTTCCTTTTCTTTTGCATTGAAAAATGATCTATTTATATTATTACACAACAAGGGGTAGGACTAGATAAGTTGTATACTTCTTCCTACTCCTTTGAGCATATAACGGTGATGATGTTTGTTTTATTTACTTTTTATTTTTATTTTTCCTTTTGTAATTTTGCTTGCCTTTTGTCAATTGTTATTGTATTGTATGTTCAATAAACAATTAACTAACTAACTAACTAACTCTTCGTGCGTCAGTTTATTTCAAACTCTGTCTGCTTGCGTCAAGTCCTCTGTCTGAGGCCCTCAGGTTTACCGGCAGAAAATGAACAAGTAGGTGTGGTCCTTACCAGATTACACACACACACACACACACACACACACACACACACACACACACACACACACACACACACACACACACACACACACACACACACAAAAGCTAGCATGGAGGTGCTGACGAGGTGTCTCATTTCAGACGCTGCCGTCAGGTGCACACACACACTTACACGCGCACACAACTGTCCTAGACAACAATCAAGTGGCACACTAAGTAAAACACTATTGCAGTGTGCTTTACTTTTGAACTTTGGACACACGGAACTTAATTTCAAAGTACATTAGCAATAAAATTATGGACATACTCTGATCAAGCCTCACCATTTGGCAAATGCCCATTGGTTAACGCAACAACCGGCGAATTTTCCAGGTGATAAACGTATCTTTCTCTTTCCGCGTATTTTTGTAGTCTGACTGTAATGCCCTGAAACTGAGTTTTTTTTGTCATATATTTTGAACTACTGCAGATGATGTACGAACTCCATGTGCAAAGCGCCATGCCGTGAGTCAGTGTTACTCACACACTTAGTTGTATAGCTACAAATAAATCATTATTTTGCCATCAAACTCCGTTTGTGTTCGTATATTTTGAGCTGTCAAAAAAGCAAAATATATTTGCGTCACTCTTCAGCTTGACATGTTGTTTTCACACATACAAAAAAAGCTTGTTTTTCTCACTTTTTGGTCGGAAACTGGTGTTTTGAGTGACATCAATCCATGTTCGACTGCTGATTACTATATGGGAAAAGCTGGATCTAAAGTTTTTTCTTCTGCTGAAACAACAAAATCTACTCTTTGTTTTAGTAATCTCTGTGCTTGTACTGCCATGGAATGCAATTTTCTGTGGATCATTGAAAGATCAGTCACAATGCTCTAAAACTGTTGGTAATATGGGAAACTGATTTGAAAACCTCATTTTGAGGTGTTTGCATGTGCGCGCGTGTGTGTGTGTGTGTGTGTGTGTGTGTGTGTGTGTGTGTGTGTGTGTGTGTGTGTGTGTGTGTGTGTGTGTGTGTGTGTGTGTGTGTGTGTAAACCGGAAGTCTAAGGAGAGTGTGAATTCTTGGAATGCGCAAAGTAATTTCCTCACATGACCTGACTTTTGTTCATCTTTTTAAGTTTGAATCAGTTGCAGTGGAGAAAGCAGGGTGGTACACATGTCAAGATGATGCAGGGAAGGGTCTGGATTGCTACTGGCAGATAGCTCTTCCCTCAGGTTCATGAATACAGAGTGTGTGTGTGTGTGTGTGTGTGTGTGTGTGTGTGTGTGTGTGTGTGCGTGCGTGCGTGCGTGCGTGCGTGCGTGCGTGCGTGCGTGCGTGCGTGCGTGTGTGATGAAGTCGTGACAATAGTAACAGGACTCAATGATATCAGCTTACGTTCTATTGTGTTACCTCCTGTAAGAGCTGAGGGCAGATCTTTACGTGTGTGTGTGTGTGTGTGTGTGTGTGTGTGTGTGTGTGCGTGTGTGTGTGTGTGTGTGCGCGCGTGTGTGTTCAAGACCAACAAACAACAAAGAGTTGGTCACTTCCTCGCAAACAGCAAACATTTGAATGTCTGGTGGCTGTCAACAAAGTGCACTTTGTGTGCGTGTGTGACTTTAAGTGACTCTTCTTGTCTCTGTCTAAACTGAGTTTCAGGAAGAGTTCAAGTGACTAAAGTTCTGAAGTCGAATCGTGTTTTACTGAACGTGTCACTTGATTGTTGTCTGGGGCACACAACTGTCATATTGTCTTTTTTGGAAACGCCACATGATGCTTCATGTGTACATATATATAGTGTGTGTGTTTGTGTGCGTGCATGAGTCATGTGACTCACCTAGTGACATCACAGTGTGTGACATCACAGATGGGATGTGTAAAAAGATGTCCGAGGTGCTCGTGCTATTCACTTGTAGTTTGTTTCTTGTGGTGTTTGTGTCTCCTCACAGGTGAGATCTTTATTTTATGATCTTCTGTGTTATTTGTCTATGTAAGAAATGATAGATATGTCTGTTCACCCTTGGGCCTTGTATGATTTTCTGACTCTTTCAGCTTGTTTGTGGCCATTTTTGGTCACAAATAAGTAAAACTGTAATTTTCTCTGTGGTCAGCAGTGTGTATGTCGGCCTCTTAACTCATTCACTCCCAAATACGTTTTTAAACGTCTTTTCAGACTTGGTCTGGAATTGGCTGGTACTGAATGAGTTAAAATCCAAATTTGCTCAGGTTGGAGTCTAGAATGAAACCCATTTTACCCATATTGTACGATACAATCCAGTGAATAATAACAAAGAATCAAAAAAAAAAATCTAAAGATTTAACGATCCAAAAGTTGGCTCGATGGAGTAAAAAATAGCCAGCCACAGGGATAATGAACCAAAACCATGTACATGTCAAATGCTGTTATTTAGTGTTAGTTAAATGTGCGTTTATACGGGTAAACAATTTGAGTCCTGATCTGATCCAGATTGCACATCAGTGTACATGTGGCAGTGTAAAAATTTCTACTTACGTATCATATTTATGTATGTATTCGTCAAATGTCATAAGATCAGCTTGTCATTTGTTGTTTTAAGGTATCCATATCTTATGTTGTCCTCGTGGATCTTCCTCTTAGTTTTTAAGACGAGGGTATTATGCAAACGTCATTTTTTTTTTTTTTTTTGTGACAATGATTTGGATTCACTCTGGAAAATTAAGTTTACTTTTTTTGTTTAAGAATGAAGTTTTGTGTGGAAAAAGACTTGGAAAACTGCTGTGGTTTAGGCTGAAAAATTACTTTGTGTAATCAATTACGAGTTAACATTGGTGTGAAAGTTTATCGTACTGTGCCAAATGACTTGACATCACTCTGTTTCAGTGTGAAAATGGGTCTCATGCGTGTCTGGAAAAATGCCTAAATGTGAAAATTTGCTACTTAGCTTTGGAAAAAATACTTGTATTTTTATTAGTGTGAAATATTACCAAGTGAGAAAATTACTTCACTGTCAAATTACTTAACCGATTAAAAAAAAAAAAAAAAAGTCACTCGTGAGAAAATTGACTTTTTGATGCAAAAACAAACAAAAAAAATCACCCTAGTGTTAAAATGACTTGACTTGAATGTGACAATATACAATGACACTTTATGTGGACAATTATTTCAATTTATAAAGTTACTTAACGATGAAAAATTTTATTAATTTTGCGTGGAAAAAGTGTGCTCGAGTGTGAAAGTTGTAGTACTTTAGTCGTATTAAAAATGAGTTTATTGTGCAGGTTGCGAATTTGTGATTACTCACCGTGTTGTGCAGGCGTTCGTGCAACCAATAGAAAATGTGTGACAACGGGGAGGTGGAGGACAAGCCGCCGGCCCCGCCCATGAGGAACACCAGCACCATGATTGGCTCGTGCAGCAAAGACCCCGCCCCCGTCAATCATGCCTCCAAACCCCTGCCCCCCAACCCTGAGGACAAGAAGAAGAAAGACCGATCCATTCGATTCATCCTGACGGGTGGCGGTGACAAGAGTGAGTAAAAAATAAAAATCAATAAACACCTTCTTCAGCCACTTTCACACAAGTGATGCCACAAAATTGGCCATTGTGAGTTTCTTCAGACATTGGCTAAAATGGTCTTGAAATTATGGACTATAGCGCCACCTGTTGCTCTGGCATTCACATGCATGGGAAAAAAGATATTTCGGTTTCCCTTTGTGTCCTAACCATGAAGACATCCAGCAAATCTTTGTTGTGTTTGTGTTTCAGCGTACAAAAAGAAAGAGCGACCTGAGATTTCTTTGCCGTCTGATTTCGAGCACACTATCCATGTCGGATTTGACGCAGTCACCGGAGAGTTTACTGTAAGTGCGTGCATGTGTGCGCGCGTGTGTGTGTGTGTGTGTGTGTGTGTGTGTGTGTGTGTGCGTGTGTGTGTGTGTGTGTGTGTGTGTGTGTGTAAATGTGTTGGTCTCACATCATTGAACTTTTTTGCTTTGAATAATCCCATCAGACAAAGGGGCCTTGTTTAGTTTCAATCTTGATCCGCCTCAGTGAGCTCTTTTAGCTCCTGCGTGCGTGTGTGTGTGGGTCTGTGTGCGTATATTTTTTTAGTCAGGTCCCTCTGGTTGAATGATTTTAGCAGAGAAGAAGTGAAGTGTAAACTTGGATGGGCTGACCCAGTCTGAGAACAAGTTTGCGTGACCCATTTATGTGATTGCAAATAGGGCATCTTCTCGTGTGCGTGTGTGCGTGTAGGGCATGCCCGAGCAGTGGGCCCGCCTCCTGCAGACGTCCAACATCACCAAACTGGAGCAAAAGAAGAACCCTCAGGTATATATCATGCCTACCTACCATGACAACAGGCCTGCTATCTCCCAATACCAGCCCACCAATCATGATTACCGAACCTGACTACCTACCTAGCATTTTGACCCAACTGCTATAACTGCCTATCTATTTACTATAATAACTACCGAACTGCCAGCCAACCATAACTACCTCCCTTAACTCCTTCCACCCATAATATAACCACCTATTGTAGCAATTTAGCCACCTACCCACCATATCTACCAACAATAACTACCCACGAACCAACCATGTTGACCCTACTTATCTACCATAATTGCCTATCAACCATAACTGCTACCTTCTGTCCGAGCTACCTTTCTATCCACCATAACATACTTATCTACCATAAATACCTTCCTGCAACCATAACTACCTACTCACCTTCCTACCATAACTACCTGTGGTAAATTTCCATCTACTATAGTACATATGTAACGATGGACTATAACTCCCTACACACCATAACTACCTACCTCCAATCCAATTATTACTTACCAATTATAAATTCCTGTTGAACTTCCTACCATGCAGTAACTGTTTACCAGCAATGACTTCCACCTATCATAAATACTTACCTACCTTGCTACCCACCATACTTACCGACTTACCACCATAACTAACTAAACTACCTGCCATAAGTGGCAAATGCCAACCATAACTGCTTCCTACCAAACCTCGATAGCTACCTACCTATCATCCATATCCACGTACCTATTTACCATACCTACGTACCTACCAATCCATATTAACCAAGTACTGAGCTAACTACCTACAGTAGCAACCTACCCACCTTAACTACCTAACTACCATGACTGCCTTGTTCTCCAGGCAGTGCTGGACGTTCTCAAGTTCTATGACTCCAAAGAGACCAGCAACAGCCAGAAATACATGAGCTTCACAGGTAGGTATACACACACACACACACACACACACACACACACACACACAGACTCCTATTACCTCTTGGCCAAAATGTGACCTTTTGTTTTCACACAGACAAAAGTGCAGATGTCTTCGCATCGTCCACTGCGATGGTAAGAAAACATGATCACTTCGAGTGTACCCAAATGCGCCGTCATGATCTCTCGTTGAACGTACTCATTTATATTGATTTGTTGATGAGATGCTGACAAGGTGACAATGAAGACGAGGACACAAAGTGATGACCAAGACTCTTTTCGTTGCTTTTCTCTGCAACGTGAATGAGCACATTTTATCTTCTTGCCGATGCAGCTTGGACACACGCCCAGCAACCATTCAAGCATCCTAAACTCCGAATACACTTGTGTCTTTGCATCCTAGCATCATTTTATCATTCATGTCCTAGCCTACTCATTTCTGTGTATGCTTGTTTTCTAGTGTCCTAGTATCCTTGTAGCCTAGTATCCTTGTATAGTCGTCTCCCTGTGTTCTCGTAGAGTGGCGCATTTTCTTAGAGAGGATTGAAAAGTGAAAGTGACGTGATGATTCAGTCCATGGCAGGGAAGGAAAGAGTGTGTTTCAGATGCCCAACAGGAAGTGATGTCACAGTTGAACAATGTCACTAGTGGTGGTTGTCTGTCCTCGTTTGTCTCAGATCTCCAAGAGCGTCTCGGAGACACCCGCCATCGCCACCCTGTCAGAGGATGAAGATGAGGACGAAGCCGAGCCGCCGCCCGTCATTGCCCCACGGCCAGAACACACCAAATCGGTAGGAGGACACACACACACACACACACACACACACACACACACACACACACACACACGCAAAACAAAAAACTTAAACATATAACAGTGACACACAAAAGCACACAAGGCAAAAAATACACACACTAGTAGAAACACAAAAATACAAAACAAACTGACATAAAAACACCCCCACACACTTAAACATACAAATAAAACATAAAAACACACTTGAAAACACACGTGCGGGCGCGCTATAGGGCAATGACTCAGAATGAATGAGCCTACCTTCCCTGTCTCACACATGGATATATGCGCACACACACACACACACACACACACACACACACACACACATAGTTCTCAGACATTTTGGCGGTTAACAGGCTGCTACCATGGTGCCCTCCGGCGTCTCCATGGTGATGACTTTATTGGAACACTCTCTCTCTCTCTCTCTCACACACACACAAACATGAACACACGTACATTAGAGCTTTTTGCCAAACTTTCAGTGATGATTTACATTGTGGGAACTTATTTCCTCACCATGTGACCGTTGTTCAGACTCCACAGGATGTTGGACGCTCACACACACGCACACACACACTAAGAAAGAAACATACAGAAATGAATGCAAAACAACACACTACATTAATCAGAAACACCAAAACATATAAAAACAAACATGGCAAGGCCGCACACATTTGCATGAGAAAATATGAAAACGTAAATATTCAAATTAATGTTGTCAGATTTACACCCGCTCTGTGATCGAGCCCCTGCCGCCTCCTCCAACCAAAGATGCGGCCACCTCCCCTATTGTGGTGCCAACCTCCTCCGCGACGTCTACCACGGCCATCACCCCACCCGGCGCCACGGAGGGCGCCCCTCCCGGTAGCCCTCCAGGGGCCACCCCTGCACCCGGGCCCTCCCTACCCCGCCCTCAGGACAAAGGACGTAAGAAGAAGATGTCAGACGAGGAGATCCTGGAGAAGCTCAGTAAGTTTCACCTGTCATCAAATACGGACACTTGAATTGAAAAATTGGCTTTTGAAATGTAGAAAAGATGACAATTAATTAAAAAAAAAAAAAAAAAAAAAACGAAGTTGATACTGTATATGTATTATATTTTCCTACACCGCACACGCCTGTCCAGATGTGCTCAGGCCGCCCTCTGCTGGTAAGATGTGGATACTGTCTGTCTGCCTCTGTGATTGACAGGCCCGATATCCACCATACCCACTGTACCCACCCTCTTTGTTCAATCCTCTCATCTGATTGGTCGTTCTTCCAGGGTTTTGTCCCAAACTTTCCAGCCTTGGTCACGTCACTGAACAAATGTTCTCCTTTGTTTTCAAATCTACTCTTTCTATTCATAGTTCTTCAAATCTATTTTTATTCTGTTTCTATTCTATTGCTATTCACTTTTTAAATCCTAACTAATTTGATTTCTATTTTTATTTCTGTTCAGTTATTTTTTAACTTAATTTCAAAAATTATTTTTTGTTTGTACTTTATTGCTATTTTAACGTTGTTTTAGTTCTATTTTTAATGTCCATTTTATTTAGATTCTGTTTTGATTCATAACTAATTCCTACTTTATTTTTATTAGTCTTAATTTCCATTTCATTTCTACTTCTCTGGGTTATATTGCTGTTATTCTTTGATTTCGTTTTTTATTCTACTACTATTTTATTGTATTTCTATTCTACTTTGTACATATTTACATTTTGAATTTGGTTTACATTATTTCTTTCTCACTTATATTCGATTTCTGTTACTGTAACATCTCTATTCTACTTCTATTTTCTATTGAACACTTTCTATTTTATAACTGTGTTTATTTCCATTCTTTTATTCTTTCTGCTTATTTTACTATTTGTATGTGCATTTTACTTTTATTTGTTTGAGATCTATTTTTTGGATTTGTTGTATTTGTATTAGATCAGCTATTTCTGTATAATTTCTAATATTTTTATTTTATCCTTTTGCTTTTTCTGTTCTACGACTGTTTCATTTCTATTTTCTATGGGGGCAGTTTCTTATCCCTCCACACTGCTCTCTCTCTCTCTCTCTCTCTCTCTCTCTCTCTCTCTCTCTCTCTCTCTCTCTCTTTCTTTCTATCACTCTTTCACTCTCTCCCTCGCTCTCTCTCACTGTTTTTGTCTTCACCTCAGTCAGAATGCAACTGAGTGTCAGGGATGAACAACAAGGATGATCAGACACACATCATTGCTGTTCTATCATCCGAATTCTGTCCCAATAGAGATTTGATGACTTCCTAATTAATGACAAAAAAATTCTGTCTGTGTGACGCAGGGACCATTGTGAGTGTCGGAGACCCCAAGAAAAAATACACTCGCTTTGAGAAGATTGGACAGGGGTGAGTGGAAATGGAATTTAGTAATGTTTAGAAAGGCACACTTTAGTAGCAAAAGTGACATTTAATTGTCAAATTGTTGTTTTGTGGTACCAGCGCATCCGGGACGGTTTATACGGCCATCGACGTCGCCACCGGACAAGAGGTCAGTTCATTTCTTAAAAAAATGAGTTAAAATCTGTATGTTCATTGGTAGACAGAAATTTTATTTTAAATGTTTGTTTTAGTTAGTTTGTTCATTCGTTGATATTGTCTAATTCATTTAATTGTTGAGCAGTTTTGTTAGTTATAATTTTAGTGGTTAGTCAGCTCCTTATCTGATGAATTTGTACTTATGTCAGTTAGTTAGTTAGTTTAACTGTTATTTGGTTCTTTTGTTACTTTCATTATTTGCTTCGTTGTTTACCAGCTAGTTAATTTGATGGTTTTGTTAGGTCGTACAGTACCTGGCTGCTTAGTTTATTTTCTTAGTTTCTTTAGTATAACAGTTGGTTTGATTTTGCGTTTCCTAGTTTGATCGTTAGTTGGTTGGTTGATTAGTTGGTTATTTACTTGGTTTGTCACTTTGTTGGTTACATAGCTTGCTTTATCGTTAGTTAGCAAGCAACTTAGTTTGTTCTTTGGTTAGTTAGTCGAGTAATTGGTCAGTTTCCTTGATTATTAAGTTAAGTAGTTAGTTGTTGTTATTTAGTCTGATTAAGTAATTAGCCAATTAGTTTGATTTGTTTAATCGTTCAGTTAATGACGTCATAATTTTTGTGTTTTGTTTAGTTTGATTGTGATTATTTGGTAGTTTCATTTAGGTAACTCGTGAGTTACTTATTTGATTAATTAATTGGTCCTTTGTTGGCTGGTTGGTTAGCTATATTTTTTTAATTCGTTTATTTAGTCAGAACAAATGTTATTTGGGTAGTTCGTTGGTTGAATGTTTGCCCATTACGTTAGCAAGTTAGTTCATTGGTTCATTAGTTTGGTAGATTGTTTTTTTTTTGTTTTTTTTTTTTTGGTTAAATCAATTAGACAGTCAGTCAGTCAGTTAGTTAGCAGTGCAACTCTAAAAGTTGACACAAAGGGAGTTTATTTGCAATTGTAAGATCTCTATGCATAAATGTTTAGTTTTAGTTCTTTCAGTCTGCTTGTCTTGGTGCCTAATTGGACACCAGTGCTAAAGCTGAGTAAATGCAACCCAAGATACGATGATGACAACGACGTTGTTTTGGGCATCAGGTGGCCATCAAGCAGATGAACCTGCAACAGCAGCCCAAGAAAGAACTCATCATCAACGAGATCCTGGTCATGAGGGAAAACAAGAACCCCAATATCGTCAACTACCTGGACAGGTCAGCCGCTTTTCTTCGGTTTGCTTTTTTTGGTGCCGCCGAACGGAACGTGTCATCCTGTACGATCGGTCGCAATAGTTACCTGGTGGGTGACGAGCTGTGGGTGGTGATGGAGTACCTGGCCGGCGGCTCCTTGACAGATGTCGTCACGGAAACCTGCATGGACGAAGCGCAGATAGCGGCCGTGTGTAGAGAGGTAAGAAAAATAAGCCAAATTATAATAATTATTACGGTATTAATCACAGTAGACGATTGTGATGGCCTGTGTCGCCCCCTAGTGTCTGCAAGCTCTGGAGTTCCTCCATTCCAACCAAGTCATCCACAGAGACATCAAGAGTGACAACATCTTGCTCGGAATGGACGGATCCGTCAAGCTCAGTCAGTGGACGACTTTAAAAACTGCACAAATGAAAAATAATCTGGCCAATTGAATAGATGTGGCGTTTTCAACATCTTGAGATGACGACGACGATATCGTGGCAATTTTAATCTTGCAATATGCCGTTATCGTTACATCCCTGCTGGTTAGTGATATCGTGGCAATTTTAATCTTGCAATATGCCGTTACCATTATTACATCCCTGCTGGTTAGTAAGCTAGTTGGCTTGCTAGTAAGTGTTTTTGGTCCTGATGAATACTCATCTGGTTAGTTTGCTTTTGAATGCAAGTCATTTAATTAAGTTATGCCGCAATCTTCAGAAATGGAAAATAAAATCACTATGACGATCCCATTTATACATTTATCCTATCTAAGTGACACAATACTAAAGTTCATGTGTTCAGGCTTGATAGTTGTTTGTTGTTGCAAATTTTGACCAGTAGGGTGTGTTCTGGTTCCATTTAAACATCTTTTACATTTTGTGTGGTTCCTTTTAAGTACACATTTGAACTTACAGTAAATATTATACATTCGTTGTAAGTAATGTGACCCCTTTTTATCTATTTTTTTCCTTGCAGCCGACTTTGGCTTCTGTGCTCAGATCACTCCGGAGCAGAGCAAACGGAGCACCATGGTGGGTACGCCCTACTGGATGGCTCCGGAAGTGGTGACCCGCAAAGCTTACGGCCCCAAAGTGGACATCTGGTCCCTTGGCATTATGGCCATCGAGATGGTGGAGGGTGAGCCCCCCTACCTCAATGAAAACCCGCTCAGGGTAAGCGTCTCTTTTTGACATTACGGCGCACGTTTATGTTCTTTGTGCAGGGCTTACTTTCCTCTCAACCACTTTCCTCTCAAAAAAACATATATATATGTGTGTGTGTGTGTGTGTGGTTTTTTTTTTTTACCTGTTTATGTTAATTGGTCGTTACTTCGCGGATTTTCGTTTATCGCGGGTGGTTTTGGTCCCCATTAACCGCGATAAACAAGGGATTACTGTAAATAGTATATTAGTTGAAGTTTAATGAGGTGACAAGTGAATTTCAAAAATACAACTTAAAAGTCTGCCAATGTTGTGCTGGAAAAGACATTCATTTTGGAAAAAATAACCTGAATCCAGTGATTGCCTATACATGCTATGCGTGGATGTGCTGTGTTAAAAAAAGAATAATTTGCAAAAGCTAACATTGGCCGTTTAAATCTTTTGAGCCCTACGGCAAAGTGCTACTATAGTCTAAATGAAATATTTAAAGGCACTTCAACATAGTTCCTTGGCACAAAGATGCTACAAGATGGTGCCAAAAAGCTATTTTTGTCTATGTTAAGCTCTTCAACTCACCTCAGCATAGTTCCTGGGCATTTGGATGCCACATGAGGGTGGCAAAGCACTACTTTTGTCTAAATGAAGCTACTCAAGCCACTTCAAGATCGTTTCAAAATGGAAGGAAAAAAAACAATACTCGTAACCTTAGCACAAAACAGTGAATAGCTCCATCTTGTTTAACAAAAATAACCAAACAATTTATTGATGTAAATTGTCAGATTTATGTGATGATGTCAGAGTCATAACAAAGCTTTTAATTGGCCCAAAGCTAAAGTAGGGAGGAGTCAATGTTTTCGTACATTCGGTGGACCCGTTTTAGCACCACCGGCTGAGAAGACAGACATCGTTTCGTGACCGCTTGGTGTCACTGTAGTAAAAAAAGTGTTGTCATGTTGCACTCCAGGCACTCTATCTGATCGCCACCAACGGTACACCGGAGCTACAGAACCCAGAGAAACTCTCAGTCACCTTCAGGGATTTCCTGAATCGATGTTTGGAGATGGACGTGGAGAAGAGAGGCTCAGCCAAGGAATTGCTGCAGGTATGGGGGGAAAAAAAAAGAAACCTTCTTAACAATTAATAAGGTCCATGGTGATTTATACATTGAAAAACAGTGATTTATCCACATATTGGAAACCTTTGACCCAAGGCATGTCCTTACAAGCCGAAAATACTTTGCTGAGGTGAGCGGAACTCTGCATGAAAAACATGAGAGGGGATGTGGCGTTGGATCCATGCAGTTTGATGGCTCATTGTATGGTTTTACATTCTGGAATATTTAAAATTCCAACTTCTTGAAGACTGTGTTAAAATAAAACACGTGTACCCACTGTTCAAGCCTATTCTCAATAGCGAAAATTCCACAGTAAAAACAATTTTACAATTGCCAAAAGATGCCACTAGATGGTGGCAAAGTACAGTCCTAGTTTTGTCAAGGTGAAGATACTTAACTCACTTCATCATAGTTTCTTGGCCCCAAAATGCCACAAGGTGGTGGAAAATCATGGCTTTTGTCTAAGTAAAACTCCTCACCTCACTTCAACATGCAGTGGTACCTCTACTTACAAACGTCGCTTCATACAAAATTTTCAAGTTATGAAATGACTCAACAGGAAAATATTGCCTCTTGTTATAAAAGAAATTTCAAGATACGAAAGGTAAAAATACAGTATCGGCTGCAAATCGCAGCTCCGAGTTTCCTGAATGCAACATACTTATAGCTGCTCTGCCATTGGCTACTACTGAGCATCACCCTGGCATCCCATTGGCTAAGAGGGTCCTCAAACGTATATGTCCGTGTGTAGATAGATAGAACTGTGTCTCTGCAGCGTCCTCATTATTCGCCCCTCGGGTCATGAGGCGTTCCAATAGTTTTACGTAAATGTGAATCACCCAGAAAAAGTGTTCACCAGTTGGGCGATCACTCACGATGCTGATGTTTGCCTTGGACATTTTCGAAGGATTGTTAAAAGCCGACAAAAGCAAACTTCTTTATAAAACGCCAGACAAAACCCACTTCTGAGAGAGAACATGAACTAAAGCGGGCAAAAAACATTGAAGACGCAGTTAAAAGTTAAATGACCATCATTTTTATTTTTTATTCTTAGTTTTTTACATTACATACAACTCTCATTTATTATGCAATTATGTAATTGTAACATGTATTTGTTACATATTTTGATGCCTTTTTATGCTTTAGGAAACATTTATATCTGAATTTTGGGGGGCTTGGAACGGATTAAGGCATTTATATGGAAAACGCGTCTCTACTTACAAAATTTTCTAGTTAAGAAATTTCTTCCAGAACCAATTAATTTTGTAAGTAGAGGTACCACTGTAGTTCTTTGGTGTTAAGATGCCACAAGAAGGCAGCAAAGTAGTACTTCTGTCTAAATCACAGGTGTCAAAGTCGAGGCCCGGGGGCCAGATCTGGCTCACCACATCATTTTAAGTGGCCCACAAGAGCAAATCAAGCATGTCAAGTTCCATGATGCTTGCTAAAGTCTGAACCAAAATTTCAAATTGTCATATGTAATCCACAATAACAGTCATTATTTTTGACTTCTGATTTTAAAACTAGTTATCCATCAATTTATTGTGCACTGTGTATGTAATATGTGGAGGTGATTGAACATTTATATGGTTTCCCAAAATTCATAACGGCCCTCGAAGGGAAACTGTAACTACAATGTGGCCCGCGACAAAAATGAGTTTGACACCCCTGGTCTAAATGAAGCTCCTCCACACATGTCAACATAGTTCCTTGGCACAAGCAATATAAAACTCAATTTAAAATGATTGCTTTTGAATATGCGTTGTAGCCCAGGCATAAATGATGCACCTCAATATAGCGGGATTCACTGTAATTTCAAACCATCTGACCTCAGCTGTGATTTATTTTCTAACGTTGCGCTTCTATTGGATTTTTGGGGGGGTAAAAAGCCTTTCTTTCTTTCCTTCATGCCCAGCACCAATTCCTGAAGATGGCAAAACCTCTCTCCAGCCTGACTCCGCTCATCGTGGCCGCTAAGGAAGCGGCCAAGAACAACCGCTAGCTTGCGCCTGCAAACGTTCCTCTTCCTTTTCCTCTTCTTCCTCGACTCTGGACTCTTGTGGTGCGGGTGAGGAAGTGGGGGTTGGGGAACCAAACCAATGATGTCATTGCTCCGATCAATGATGTCATCAGCAGAGAGGACTCAATTCATTGTTTTCTGTGTGTGTGTGTGTGTGTGTGTGTGTGTGTGTGTGTGTGTGTGTGTGTGTGTGTGTGTGTGTGTGTGTTGTCTGCTGTCAGAATATACATCTGTTGTTTTTATTGTATCTTTTTTTAAAATGACTGTGCGCGCGCGTGTGTGTGTGTGTGTGTGTAAGAGAAATGATAATGCTGGGATATCAAGTGATTGTAGCATGGACGCAGCTTACCTTAGCTGCATTGGTCGTCCAGTCTGCACTGTGGGTTCGAGCAGTTGATTAATAATAATTATTATTGTAATAATAATAACTAGAACATTGGTTCTCAAAACCGGGGTCTCCACAAGTCATAGATTGGGGGGTCTAAAAAAATTAATTACCTACATATGGGGACTGGCGTGCCAGTAAAAGAAACAAACTAAAACAACAACTCTTCCCTACAAATAGCTTTGTGGGATTGTGTCCATGTGGGCGTTGTTGGAAACAATCTTCCCCCGTAAGGTGTCCCTGGAGCCAAAAAGTTCAAGAACCTTTGAGCTAGAGAGTGCAATGAAGAAATTGCGTGCGAATGCTTTTCAGCGTTGACGCAAAGAAAGACAAATGAAGTACCTGCTCGGAGAGAAGAAGTCAAAATTTAAGACATTATGGATTTTTTTGGTTTGTTTGTCTTAAATCCAAACAGCTTTGCATCTGGAGAGCCTGCCTCTCCATCGACTGTTATCTTGACTGTATCTGAAATGGGGGATGGGGGAGCAGTCCTTCATTTGCATGAGACAACCGCCCCCTTGAAACAGGCTAATTTCAGCAAAGCCAAAACTACAAAAAAAATAATTAATTGATAAAGTAGGGCGGCCCCACATCACGGCGGTTTTAAGATTCCCAAGTTGTTTGAAGAACGGGTGCTTACCCATCATCAAATGGCCTCCATCAGCACAGTCAGTGATGTGAAGAATGTGCATGGTTTTGTTTAGATTCTTTTTTTATTACTCTCGGTACAATAGAAAAGTGATGACAACGCCTCCTCAAGAATACTTGTGTACAAATGAAGAAATAAACTCAGATGATTCAGTGTTGTTTGGCTTTTTGCCTTGGAGACATACCACATGGCACCACATACTAGAACCAGAAATGTTCATTACCTATAAAACAAATAAGCAATCACATAACATTAGCTGCTTGATTGTGGTATTATTGAGTCGTACACAAAAACACTCAAATGTTTGCTTCAAACAAAAAGGGCAGCTACGCTGATGGCTGCAGCCCCGATTCAAACCCCCAAACTTTGAACTGTGAGACTTGCGTGCAAACCAGTTGGGCAACATGCTGCCTGCCTGTAAAATAAAAAAAAAAGAATTCCTTGTGTTGCAACTTCATCCACCAAAATTGAAGCGCTTGGACCACTAAGCTATGAAATGAATTGTCTTATTTCTAAAAATCCGCGAACTTGGATACTAATTTAATTGAGACAAATTACAATTAATTTGCTTGTAGCGAACAAATAAACACAGGGATGTGGTAAATGACAAGATGAGGAGACAAAGTTGAGTCATATCACTTTACAAACAAACAATTGAAAATAGCACTGCGACCTTATCCATTTCTGTATTTATATTGCACTTAATTGAACGGTGTTTGTTTGTTTTTTTTCTTCTTTCTACCCACAATCTTGCTGCTGTAGACTGTAAATTTCCCCAGTGTGGGACAAATAAAGGGTATCTTATTGACTCTCCCGCTACAAAAACTTGACTGGTTGGTTTCCACTGCAAGCAAGTGACTCTCTTTCATCCTGTCATGTCTTTATCCCTTTGACTACAGAAACATGTCAACTCTCTCCCCTCCTTTAAAAATACAGGTTCCCCGGGAATTTCCCTCCTTTGTGGATATCATCTTTGGCAAAAATCATGGTAAATTATTCCGAAATGCTAAAAATAATGGAGCAGTGCTGAGGGCTCCAGTCATTTGGCGCAGTGTGTGCGTGTGTGTGTCTGTGCATGTGCGTATTGATCAATGCGTCTTTGTAGTGCAGTGGAATACCCCCTCTACCCTATCCACTTTTTTCATTAAATTACATAACAGCTACCACTGCACAGGAGAAGAGCACTGCAGAGAGACGATAACACACGTACACACAACCAGAGACCAAAAAATGCACCCAAAACAAGATACCCAGCAATCACACGTTCACACAAACAGACAGACTGACACACACATTGTACAATTAGGACAAGGGAAATGGGAATAACAAGAAAATGATTTCCACCCTTACATGTTCTGTATTAATAGCACACATTTCGGGGTTGACAAAAAATTGAACCTCATAAAATGAAAATTATCACGACTTATTTTCGATGTACTTGGATTCCATTTGAAGCACAGGTGTCGAACGCGGGTCCTCGAGGGCCACAACCGGACTTACATGTTTCCCTCCTCCAACAGACCTGATTCAAATGATCAGCTCATCAGCGAGCCCTGCAGGAGGCTGATAACAATCCTGGTCGTTTGAATCAGGTGTGTTGAAGGAGGGAAACATCTAAAATATGCAGGATAGCAGCCCTCGAGGACGGGAGTTTGACACCTGTGATTTGATCGGAACCTCGCCCCTCCCAACATGGCTGCCAAGTTGGCATGTCGGTTAGCCGGATTTCGCCAGCGCGCAATCTACTCGTAGAATGAACGGAGACTTTTACAAAGAAAAGTGCGAGATGTGGCGGCCCGGTAGTCGAGTGATGAGCACGTCGACTTCACAGTGCAGAGGTACCGGGTTCAATTCCAGCTCCGGCCGGGTTTGCATGTTCTCCCCGTGCTTGCGTGGGTTTTCTCCGGGGCCTCCGGTTTCCTCCCACGTTCCAAAAACATGCATGGCAGGCTGATTGATCACTCTAAATTGTCCCTAGGTGTGAGTGTGAGCGTGAATGGTTGTGCGTTTCTGTGTGCCCTGCGATTGGCTGGCAACCGGTTCAGGGTGTCCCCCGCCTGCTGCCCGAAGATGGCAGTGATAGGCTCCAGCACCCCCCGCGACCCTAGTGAGGGTAAAGCAGTTCTGAAAATGAATGAAGTGCGAGATGTCAAAATCATCCGGACTGCTGGTTGCTTATGATAAGCTAGCAGGCTAGCTAGCACCTACCCTCATAGGAGTCAACATAACACCTCAAGAAAGTGTCTCGAATGAAAGACCCCGAAACGCCAATGGAAGTGACTCCCATTCCAAAAATCTTTCAAGGATCCTGAGTGACTTTCACATGACGTTTGGGTGCCTTTCATCTGCGTCACATGTGTTTTGAGCTTCCTCTTTAGCGAAGTCATAAGTGACAATCAAAGCAAGTGTGATTACGTCTTTATTGTTCCAAGAACGGTGACAAAGTTCTATTCTGTTGTATGTGCAATTAAGATCACATGTCACATTTGCTTTTAGATGACGAGAAGTAACGGAGCCGCCAAAAATGTATTTCAACATTTCAGTGTGACTTTCGCAACTCTCTGAATGTGTTTGTCAGTCATATGCTGAGTCTGAGCATTTTTTTCCCCACTTTGTATAATTCATGTTCCCAAATAAAAAAGCTGTTTCCGTATGTCCTATAGTTATGAACAGATGCATCACGGCAACAGAATTCTTCGTGATAATCTCTCTGAGAATAGTTCACCATGCATGCTGCTCTGCATGTTTGAGACAAAATACATAAATTACTGCGTTGAAACCATCGGAAAATTACTCCATCATTCATACGTTTTTTAAAAAATGTAAAACAATAAGGACAAAAAAGTGCCACGCTCATTGTTTCTGTGGTCCTCAGTGGCATAGTCCACGTTAGATTCTCAATGAAATGTTGTCCCAATGTCAACAGTCATTCAACAAAAATAGAAGCCATTTGGGGGTCTTTCGTAGCACAGTTTGTCATTTTATTTGTGGCAAGCATTTTTAGCAGAGGCTAATAAGCATAATGAGATATGAAGATGACACACTGCAAAGAAAAACAAAGGTAATGAATAACATTACTGTACATGGCAAAATAACCCCCAAGCATAACACATAATAATGATCATTAATATCACGAATATTTCACACAGGTCAAGTGCCGGTAAAATCACACCATTTTGCGCCGAGAAACAACCGAGCGGCAAAAAAACCCCAAAAAACCTAAACATTAAGTTTGGCACGGTGAAGGTTTTTGTTTGAGGCAAACAATTTAATCTGTGAGGTGACGCTTGAGCTAGGACGTTAAATGCAAATATGAGCATGTTACGGCAAAAACATGAACCAAAAATGAACAAAACCTGAAGTCTGTTTAAAAGAAGAGCTCCCTGCTTCTTTTGAGCGAAAGCTAATCTAGCACATTAACAAACTAATGCGCCAGCGACCACTGAAGCGAATGAAGACACGACAATCCTAAAACGTAACCATGTTAACAATCCCCCAAAAGCTTATCTATTACCCATTTTAATTTACTCATTCAACTAAAGGAATTAGTGTTGCTAAACCCACACAATATTTTTTCTGCACACCTAAAAAGATCCATGCTCACTTTTGGGAAATCACTTACTGCAGGGGTGTCAAACTCATTTTTGTCGCGGGCCACATTGTAGTTACGGTTTATCTTGGAGGGCCGTTATAAATTTTGGAAACCATATAAATGCATTTTAATCCCCTCCACATATTACATACACAGCGCACAGCAAATGGCTGAATAACTAGTTTTAAAATCAGATGTCAAGAGTAATGACTGTTATTGTGGATTACATATGACAATTTGAAATTTTGGTTCAGACTTTAGCGAGCATCATGGAACTTGACATGCTTGATCTGCTTTCGCGGGCCACATAAAATGATGTGGCGGGCCAGATCTGGCCCCCGGGCCTTGACTTTGACACCTGTGACTTACTGTATTGACAAAGTATTACCGGGTCACATGATCCATTTGCTCCTTGTTGCTATGCAGAATTTTATGACGATAACTCCTGGTTAAAAAACAAGTATTTTCTGGTCCTATGACATGTTTGCACCTTGTTTCTAGGCAGGATTTGTGTGAAAAGAAAATGGACAAATGTATTTCCTGGTCACATTAGTTTGCTACTTGTTGCTG